GAGCGTGACCGAGGACTTTCAAAATATTAGGCGAGCTAGCGGAACCGTTCGCGGGCACCTGTGCTCGCGGGGGAGCCCCTCCGCGATGATCGCGCGGACAAAAGACACAATGAACGGGGCGGAGAGGAGGAGGAGGAGGAGGAGGAAAAGCGATCACATGCACCGAGCCGATATCACTGCACCAGTCTCCGCGTCTGCGAGAGATAACGTTCCCGCGATCTCTGCGCGTCCTGTGTGTTTGGTAAATATCCGATGCATACAGGCGCACGTCGGCGTGTGTGCGTGTGTGTACACACGCATATTTGCACGTACGCCGAACGACGCAGTATCGTATCGGTTGCAGACAGGAAAATCGCAACGGTGCACTGCGGCACGTCGATCGGCGACACGATTTGTCTCGTGCAGTGCTATCGACCGCGCGCGGGGAGGAGGGTGTATCTCCCTCCCCCTCACTCGTTCACTCTCTCTCTCTCTCTCTCTCGTTCTCTCTCTCTCACACACACACACACACACACACGCTCTCTGTCTCATTCTTTCAGTTTCGGGAAGACTACGGGGGCGGGGTATTAAATGGCAGATCGTTTTACCGTATCACCATCGTGGCACGCTCCGCATTCGAGCACGACCTCGCTGCGACGAGCACGTTTAAAGAATGTCCTTCTCCAATCGAGCGAGCGTCCGATCTCTTTGGGAGACGCGGCGGCACACTCTTCCACCTTGCCGCCCCCCCTTTACTTTCCCGAGGAGTCGTCCTCCGAATAATGACGATATGCAATGACGTTGAATGGAGCGCGCGCCGCCCCACGGGCTCTCACTCTTCCGTCTTCCTCGGATCGTCGCGATCCATCGTGTTTACGCCAGGAGCGACGGCGACGGTCCACGGGTGGAACGGCGATACCCCATGATCGCGGGCGCGTGTTACGCGGGTGTCATATCGATCACGCCGAACGCCAAACCGACGTCCGTCTCTCTCGCTTCTTCCGCGGCGTTATTTCACCTTTCCCACCCTCCCCCGGAGTTCGATCGTCGCTCTCGTTATGCGGAACACGTTTGTTTTGCACGCTTGTCGCGCGCGACGATACGACGACGAGGACGACGACGGCGGCGACGGGGTCGCGGGATGGTTGACGGTGGCTGCGCCTCCGCGGAGCGCGCGATGACACAGGCACCCACGCACGCGGAGTACAATACAACACAACACAAACGCGACGCGACGCGACGCGACGCGACACACGCACGTATAGACTGGCGTAGACACGCAACTATCCGACTCCGGACAGTCCGGACGCGACTCCGATGTGTGCCGAGCGTACGCGCGGCGGAATCGCGGAGATGGAATTGCCTCTTGAGTCGCGCGCACACGGACAGAATCGCGAAACGCGTCGCTCGGTTCCTCGCGGAAGGGTGTCGAGCGAGAAAATCGGATTACCGCGATCCGAGCTCGTCCGATGCGTCCGTGTCCAATGCGAGAGACGCCATGTTGCTGCGATCAGATAGATCGGAGCGCGTCGCGCGATTGGTCGATCCTCTTCCGGCGCGTGCTTCAGGCGGCGCGGCGACGCGAATTTTCGCCCGAGCGAACCTTGGTCGGAGTTCACAGTCCGATCTTATATTCATGTTCATTTCTCTACCAATATAAAAGATTATAACTTTAATCTCTGTTTAACTTAAGGCCATTGCACGTAACAAAGTTTTAAGTCATAATCGTAAGACCGTAAGAAAATAGACCAATCACAGTCGATTATTCTCCTTGAGCTCGAAGAATAATCGAGTGTGATTGGTCTATTTTCTTACGGCCTTACGATTATGACTAAAACTTTGTTACGTGCAATGGCCTTTACTTTTTATCTTTTTCTAATACTTAAAACTAGAAAAAGATAAAAAAATTAAGCAGATTGAAGTTGCCTATGACCAGACTTAAGACGAGTTCACAGTTTGCTCGTAACAGACAACGTCCGACGTCCAATAAGAGAGTCCGCTTCCTGGGGACTTTGATCGGCGATTACTTTTTCCCCTGGAATTTTTGCTCCTGGAAAATGGCTTTTTCGGTTGAACGCGATCGTCAATCGTCAATGGCGTCATGCCATCCTCGTCTTTATCGTCTCGATGCTCGATTGTCGGTTCGGCGTAACGGGGGGTTAGAATTTGATGCGTGTGAAATTTCGCGAATTACTCCGAATTGAAGAAAGCGCGACAAGTGCGGGAGTAACGATCGCGAGTACGACTTTCGAGAGCCGTCGGCTGTATCGCGAAAAATGAGCCGTAGAAGAGTACACGAGGAAGATGATGGCTATGGTGAGCGAGGTTCAAAGTTATCGTCGTCTTCCTGACGCCGCGATTCACCGATTATTTGTGACGTTCGAGTAGAGAGCTGCGTTAATATGAACGTCTCTTATTTTCATATCGTCTTTTTTAAAATTTAATTCGAGTTCAATTACTTGACGATGTCTGTACTTTTTATTTCTGACACATGTGTAAGCGCGCGCGTTTACACACACACACACACACACACACACACACACAGATATATATATATATATATATACATATATATATACATATATATATATACATACATACATATATACAATATATACATATATATACACACCTTTTTTAGAAGTACAAAAAGCAAAAAAAGTTTTTGGTATTAGATTTTTAATCTATCATGTAAGATACATATTTTTTAAATATATCTTTCTTATATGTATAATCTAAAAAATTTGGAAAATACAAAATTGGAAAAGTGTTAAAAAAAATAATACTTTAATATCTCTGTTGAAATAATATTTAAATAATGTTTAAATATTATAAATCTGCATCTGGCTAACGTTTGACATACATTTAATTGAATTATAAATTGTTAACATATGTACATAGTGTTGATAGATTATATTTTTATTATGTATTATATATTTTCTTATCATAAAAATCTTTATCAATACAGTGCTTGTACAAATAAACCTTTATACTTATTACATTTATAAAATTACATGTGTTTATTCATTACACATGTTTATTCCTTTCTTAGATCGAGTATATAAGAAGCGCAGGAGGGTTTCGGAGAATCAAGAGATTGAAGATCGTCTTGAATCTCTCATCCTCCGCGTTGGAGAGAAGTCAACGTCATCTCTGGAAAGCAACTTGGAAGGTTTGGCTTCCGTATTGGAAGCCGATCTGGGTTTATTTCGTAGCAAGATTCTTCGAATTTTAACGGACTGCGCTATTAAGATGCCAGAAAAATGCACAATTTACACCACTCTCGTCGGGCTATTGAACGCGAAAAATTTCAATTTTGGTGGAGAATTTGTTGATTATATGGTGAAAAATTTCAAGGATTCTTTAAAAGCGTGCAAATGGGATGTGGCTAGGTATTCGCTTAGATTTCTAGCTGATTTGGTAAATTGCCATGTTTTATCATGCGGATCGTTGATGCAGTTGTTTGACAATATGCTGGATGCTGCAAACGAGGATGGAGTACCGCAAGTGAGACGTGATTGGTATGTGAGAAACCTTTATCTACATGGAGTTTGTTGTATGAATTACGTAAATTAAAATTTAATAATTATATGTGTAATAATTTACAGGTATGTTTATGCCGTTCTATCGACGCTGCCGTGGGTTGGCAGAGAATTATATGAGAAAAAGGAACAAGAATTAGACCATCTAATGGTTACGATAGAGATATTTTTGAATAAACGAAGCAAGAAACATCAGCCAGCGTTGAGAGTATGGTCGAGTGACACGCCTCATCCGCAGGAAGAGTATTTAGATTGCTTGTGGGCGCAAGTTCGCAAACTGAGGCAGGATAATTGGGCCGAGAAGCATATTCCACGCCCCTATCTGGCATTTGATTCGATTCTGTGTGAAGCGTTGCAACATAATTTACCACCTTTGATACCGCCTCCACACCATGAATCTTATTCCTATCCGTTGCCCACCGTCGTCTTTCGTATGTTTGATTATACGGATTGTCCTGCTGAAGGGCCATTATTGCCAGGAAGTCACGCCATTGAGCGATTCCTGATAGAAGAGCACTTACGGCAGATCATCAATAATTATTATTTTGAGAGAAAGGATTGGTAATATATATATATTAAAAAAAATTTGTTGCTGTCGCTATTCCAAATTACATGTAATAATATTAATTATTTTTATTTCACAGTGCTGCACAACTGCTGAACTTCCCATTCAAAGCCAAAATCCCTTTAGACTATTGTATTGTTGAAGTGATATTTGGTGAATTGTTTAGACTGCCCACTCCAAAACATTTAGAGATCAGTTATGGGTCAATTTTGATAGAGCTCTGCAAATTGCAGCCTTCAACCATGCCACAGGTATTAACATTATAAATTACACGTTCGAAAATTCAATACCGTATTGTTATTTATATAATTAAAGTAGAGTACGATAGAAATAACATTTAAATTGTATTACTATGTAGGTACTAGCGCAAGCCACCGAGATTCTGTTTCGTCGTATAGACAGTATGGCGGCTACTGCCTTCGATCGTTTCGTCTGGTGGTTTGCGTACCATTTAAGCAATTTCCAATTCCGTTGGTCGTGGGAAGATTGGGATTCTTGCTTGCAACGTGATGTAGAACATCCAAGACCAAAATTTATACGAGAGGTCTTGCTTAAAGCTTTGAGGTCAGTATAAGTCTGTTTTTTACTATGTGTGTGCGTGTACATATATTTAAATAGATTAATCTATCTCCAATTATTAAAATAAGAAGTTGAAATAACGTACGAAACTTTCACATTTTTAGATTGTCATATTATCAGAGGATTCGAGATATGATGCCAGACTCGTACGTAGACTTGATTCCAGCAGTTCCCGAGCCCGTCTACAAATATTCATCTGAAGGTGCCAGTAAGTATATAGTGAAATAGAACTTTAATTATTACTGCTTTGCGACTTAACGAGATATATGTGCTATAACTTTGTTTGGATATTTTGATATAAGAGGGTGTAATATCTATTATTTTTAACCACGATTAAGTATGAATGAAAACTTTTTTTATTTGAATCATTAATATAAGACATAGCAAAACTATTGAACAAAAAATATTCATAACATTATTAATATGTAACAGTATCAATACATTATCAAACTATTTCAGGTTCACTCCCTGGTACATCAGCAGCACATGAATTGGTGGTTTCTATAAGACGTAAATGTACGCCGGAAGAAGCATTAAATGTATTAAATACATTACCTGGTCCCAGAGAAAACGAAGAGACGAATAATTACAATCCGTTGAAAATCGACGTCTTTGTACAAACTTTACTAAACCTTGGTTCGAAAAGTTTCAGTCATAGTTTTGCGGCTATAGTAAAGTTTCATTATGTTTTCAAGGTAGATGAACGTTACAATTTTCTGTACAATTTGGATGCATATACATGTGTGCTCCTCACATTATGAATATTTCTCGAACACAGGTGCTCGCTGAAACGGAAGAAGCGCAGATATGTATATTGAGAAACATGTACGCGTTGTGGAAGAATCATTACCAAATGATGGTAGTGCTAACAGACAAGTTTTTAAAAACTGGTATTATTGAATGCAGCGCTATCGCCAACTGGATATTTTCCAAAGAGATGGCATCTGAGTTTACAAAGTTCGTTTTACTGCTGTTTTGCATCTTGATAAAATATTTAATTTATTCATTTTATTTCAAAATATCAACACAATTCCCGGTACATATTGGAGAGAATAGTAACATAAGAAATTGTCATTTTTCCAGATTATATATTTGGGAAATACTGCACTTGACAATACGTAAAATGAACAAGCATGTGACGAAATTGAGCACGGAATTGACGGAGGCGAGGGAGAAACTGAGAAGAGCGGAAAGTAGGTCAGGTTCCTCTTCGGACGAGGAGGATACTAATAAAGAGAGAAATAGAGAAAGACCATCGGAGGATGTGGTAGAACGAATGGAGGAAAAGTTGGAAGCTGCGCAAGCAGATCAGAAAAATTTATTCCTCATTATATTTCAGGTATAAAAAAAGCACATCACTTGTATTAAAAGTAAATCCACGAATGTCATTTTTTTTCTTCATGGAAAAGAATTTCTAAAATTGTTTTATGTAAGACTTTTATATGACATTGTAAGCGATATATTAATTTGTTCATTTTAGCGTTTTATAATGATCCTATCGGAACATTTAGTACGCTGCGACACAGATGGAATTGACTATAACACGCATTGGTATAAATGGACTGTAGGAAGATTGCAACAAGTTTTCTTATCTGTGAGTTACAAATTGATTATTATTATGTAATAATATTCAATGCTTACGCGGGTAATTGGAGGACGTTTATTCTACTTTACAGCATCAAGAGCAAGTACAAAAATATTCTTCGACGCTGGAAACTTTACTCTTCACTCCAGACTTGGATCCTCATATTTTGGACGTGTTTCATCAATTTGTTTCTCTACGAGCATAAAATAAGATATACATATATAAATAATGTATTTATATCAGAGTACGTTTATAAGTTAGCAAGCTAAGTATAAGCTGCATCAAAGTACATTTAAGTTAATAAGTTAATTGTAAGTTACAATAAAGTACATTTTAGAGTTTTTATTTGTTTCATCTCATCTGATACTGTCCTCGTCCTGACACTGCCAATTTTTAAAAGTTAAAATTTTGCGGACCTTAAAAACTCTTCGGAATTCTAAAATACTTTTAAATTATATCGATATTTCGACGCGTCGATAGAATCGCAGTCGTTTCGTATCGAATATTTATGTCGAATTCTCTTTTCAAGTCAAAACGCCGAGTCGTTGCTCAAAAATCATAGTTTTTATCACGTGTTCCAAACACGTTTTTATGTCAATCCGGTCAATCGTGGGAAGGATGACGGGAACCTTGTGAAGGAAACGTAGGGTAAACGGACTAATTAGCGAAAATCACAGTGTGCGAAAATGCAAGAGCCGCAGCATGTCGCGAACGTGTGTCAGGGCGAATTTTACACCGCCGCCGCGAAATATTGGGACCGCATCCCGCCCACGGTGAACGGGATGCTGGGCGGCTTTGGATTTATCTCGCAGACTGACATAAAAGGCTCTACGCTCTTCTTAAAATCTCTCTTCGAGGTACATATTGTTATAATCTAACCTATCAGTGCATTTCGTAAATCTCTTTACATTTTTGCATGTTCGATAAAAAGTAAATTAATTAAGTGAATAACATATGTGTGACTTTTGTGAGATTGAATATCCAATGTTCTTTTTTAATTTGGAAGTGGCTGTGAAATATGTTAATAGAGAAATCGATAGCATGTCTCTCTCGCTCTTAATTTTGCATGAAGCATCTTATCATTTAACAGTTCAGACAAAAGTTTTGAAGAAATAATGTATCTAAAAAAAATTGTTCTGTTTTAGTTAGAAAATCCACCTTCCAAAGCGTTTGCTCTTGACTGCGGTGCTGGTATTGGTAGAATTACGAAGAACTTATTATTGAAATTTTTTAAACACATAGACCTCGTTGAACAAAATCCAAAGTTTCTAGAAGTAGCAAAGATCTCCTTGGAAAACTGTTCGTCGAGAATCAACCAATATTATCCTATTGGTAAATATATTTTGTCTACAAGAGATTGAGAGATTTGGTGTAACAGATATGTATAAATATGCTCGTCTCTTTTAAGGATTGCAAAATTTCTGCCCTACGGCAAAGAAGTACGATCTTATATGGTGTCAATGGGTATTGGGACATTTAGAAGACGACGATTTGATAGAATTTTTTAGAAAGTGCTCGTAAGTTTGATTTTCGTTCTATCGTAGAGGAAGCACGAAGGACCGTTTCTCACCTTGTAATTTGGATTTGCAGATTGGGCTTGAAAGATAACGGTGTACTAGTGGTGAAAGAAAATGTCACAACCTCAAATAAAATAGAAACTGACAAGGAAGATTCTTCCGTAACGAGACCGTTGAATACTTTGCGGTCTTTATTCGAAAAGGCCGATCTTATTTGCATCAAGGAACAACAACAGACTAAATTCCCACGCGGCTTATATCCAGTTTATATGTTTGCCCTTAGATCAAGAAATCAGTAAACCAATAACGCGCAATATACAAAACTAAATATCTGAATACTGTATATTCTTAGAGGTCTAAATTATTTTATTTAATTTGTATTTTCTCAAAAATATGTTAGTTTCCTAAGTGTAATTTTTTCAAGAAAAAGGATTTCGAAAAAAAAAGCGCTATATAGTGTATAGAAATAAAATATTAACTCTATAAATTCATTTTATACAAAAATCATTTTTGTTCATAATTACAATAAATACACATTTTGCAGTCGACGGTTGCATTACTCAGCGAGTAAAGTTCTATGTAAAAAAGTAGTTTTACTTTGGCCGTATCTTTTCATACATAAAACGTTGATTTGCATCTTGAGGGGAAGCATTTATGAGTCGCCTTTTCACAGCATGGAAATGCTCCAAAGCAAAATTATAGAATTCATTTTCCATCTTCCACACAACCGATTGCTGGATCTTGTCTATTGTTTCAGATAACGGATTGAGTTTTTGCGTGGTTTGTCGTAAGTGTGACTTATTATCTGAAATCGAAGAAAAGCATCGATATATTCCGATATTGTTTTAACAGTGATAATGCAATAAAGGAAATATATTGCCAAGTATTATATACCTCTCGAAGAGGATAAATAATTGTTCTCACGAATACCTACTATGTAAAAAAACGTTGTATGCCCCTTTGAAAAACCGTGGTAGTACAATCTCCAATACCTCTACGAATTCGTTTAACTCCTCCGTCACTCCGACCAGGAAGTAATACTTTTGTAAATTCCGTTTGGCTTCCTCCAACGCCCAGCTGTTACCAATTTCCCTGCAAAAGATAAATCACAATGATAAATTGATAATAATTACTACATATCTTGATGTGTAGTCAGGAAATATAAAATCTAGATGAAAGATTTGTTCAAAATGTTTTATTTCCAATTACGTTAGAAGAGAATTACGTGTAAAGAAAAGAATTTACCAACAAGCTGGATCGTGGCCACAAAAAAATGGAATCTGTAGCCACATGTTATTAGGATCACAGTCAGGTTGTCCAATATTTATACACTCGTCAAATGTCTAGACATAATTAAACGATTAGACAAATTTATTCTTTATATTCATATATACTTTCACATATATTTTTTGCGGATAAATGCACAAACCTTTGTATCTCCATGTTTCTTCCTTATAACATGGGGTCTAAAATTATCCCCGTATCTTAAGAAGTAATAATATGATATAAATCTGTCTAAAGGTTTTCTTAGTAAATTTATGTACAAAGGCATACGTTTAGTACCAAATCTGGAAAATAAAAATATGTTAAGTAAAACGAATAAACATTTGTTTTGTGGAAAAGGTGTAAACCTTGCTGTACCTACTTTCCAAAATTTAAAAACGCCATGTGTCCATGGTAAAACGCTGGCTTTATACTATTCCAGTTTGATATGTTATTTGCAAATTGAACCTGCATATATCTTTACGTTAGTGATAAAATTCATTATAAGATACATGTATCTAAGCTTTTACAAAGAAAGAAGGAAACACGTAGCAAATAGAAACTAAGATGCAGACTTATTTTCTTGCTTTAGACATATTTTTATACTGCTCTATCATGTAATGTATGTACTGTCGTGTATCTTACACTACAGTAAGATATTTCGAGAAGCAATTATGCTTCTTAAACAAGATTCTAATGTGAAAGATCATAGGCTATAACTAACTATAACTATAACTACTATAACTGGCTATAACTAAGCTACACGAATCTCCTTTAATGTATAACACACCTGGTTAGCAAAAGTAAGGGTGTGCATGTTATTCGTCACGTTAATGTGCAGCACATGATATTTGTTCTGCTTGCACAAATCGTAAACTAATCCCATGAAACTGGTGGACGCTGTCTTGGGCACTCTGTTGTATATCATAACGACGTCCTCCAGATCATCCTCGCTACCTCCTCGCGCCTCGACGCGCCTGTCGTCGTTCCTAGCGTCGATCCGCACGACGGCATCATCTGCAAAGGAAATCCGTGTTATTCCCGCGATTTGTATCGCGAGCAGAATCGGGACTGGTGTTTCGAGGTTAGATCTGAACCACGTACGGAGCGACCTGCAGCTCTCCTCCACGTCGTTCAATCGCACTTGCTGATAGACTATTATGAAGATGAGGAACAGGATCAGGACCCATTGCGTGAACGGCAAGTTCCTCAGGATCATCTTACGTCGCCGCTCAAACCATACCTATCACCCGCATCGGCCGCCCGCGAGGGTGCCGTGTCCGAAGCCGAGCCGCGAGAACTCGAAATGTACGCCAGGCGCTCAGGCGTGGTATCCTTTTTCCTTTCCCGAATATCGGCCCCTTCTTTATAAACCGCACGCCAGCTTTTATACGTCAACGTTCGGCTGACGAGCTCCGTGATGTATGTACCGTGTGCGTGCCGCAGCAAGGCGTAACTTTTTAGGTTAGAAAATTATCTGCGAAAACATACCTGCAATCAGTGCGATCACACCTTCACACCCTCGAAGCAAGCATGGTTACGGTTGGTATTCTTGCGACTCGTTTGTCTTGCCGTAATTACTAATTACAGAATAAAATTCTTGAAGTACAATAAACGACTCGGTCTTGAAGTATAATAAATATATAATGAAAGGAAATAAAATTTGAAATATAATAAATTATATATTACAATTATATATTACTGGTATATAATTTGCGATTTTATGGGGGACGCAACGATTGAATCAACAACGTTGAGAATATTAATGTATACATTTTATAGTGAACTTTGGGGTAAAAAAGGTTCCGATTCTGATTTCGCTAGTACACGATCGTAATTAACAAATAATTCCTATAAATACACAGTCGTCCTCGATTAGAGCTTCCCTTTTTCTTGTTTAGCACAATGTATCACAAATCTCATTATCAATTCATTAAATAGCTTACATAATATATCTATGTGCTAATTAATATCTAGGTTTATATTAATTACACAGATTAATTGCGATAATTTATACATCCCCGGGCACTAGATCGGCGTTACGACATCGTGCATCGCGTACCTCCACGTCCATGCTCTCGCCACCTCCTCGAACTTCTCGCGGTCGTTCATATACATCTCTCCTAGTTCTGGCTCCATGCACACCTGTTCACAACAGTCATCGCACGTCAGCAACAATCCAAACACATTTATTACTGGTCTTGATAAATGTATCAATATACATTAATATATATATACATATATATATATATATATATATATAGCATCGATTTATAGATATTGATTAAAAGTTTTCAAATTGGAATAAATAACTAAATGTTTCAAAATATTTTTATTGAATAGACCGATTCTCCAAAATGATGATACTTACTTGGCAATACGGATCCGTAAGCAGACTTTGTACACTGATAAGGACTTTGGATATCGTGAGAGCTAATGACCAATTATGATGTATCGAGTCTATTCCAACATCTCCGTGTCTCGACACGTTCGGGTGAAGTATTTTCGTTAGAAACCTCACTACGGGTGGACACATGGGATAGCTGTAAGAAATATACGTTATATAGAAAATTGATAATATATAATGCACAGCAAGAGTTGTTTCTTTCTTGCGCTCATGAATATCCAAAGTTCTGTAAAAAGTAATTGATTTGAAAATGAAGTTCCAGTCATTCTGTCAAGTCTTTAGTTTTTGAGATCACTTTTATAATTGAATTTTAACAGATTTTTTTTTCCAAAATTCTATTAACTGAAAAAAAGGTAGAATCTTATGATGCGTGTAGTAAGTTTCTTTTGATGTGTACCTGAATGGAACTTGTAGATACAGATAAAACAATCCTCCCTCGTACGGACTTCCCACTGGTCCCGTGATAGTAGCTTGCCAGTGGCAGCACATATGATCGAGAGGCATCGCCTCGATACCTTCAGGCGGATCGATTCTCAAACTTTTGAGCTCGCTGCGTAACCTGTTCCTCCGCCAAGAGTTCTCCTCCATTCTGGGAGGCCTCGATCGCAGGGAGGTCTGCGCCAGACAAGTACGACACGGTGCCGAGGAGGCCAAATAATCGTACACCTTGTACCAGTTCTTGACGCAGCCGATAGGCTTGTACAGAGGCCAGCGTAATTTCACGTGCTGCCGCCATTGTAGCTGAGTGACGTGCGTCGACAGCAGGCCGCACCATCGTCGACAGACGTTCGCCGCCGACCATAGGCTGATGTCGTCGAGATGCGAGAAGATGGCGAGCAGGACCTCAGGCGGCAATCTTTCCACCAAACCAGGCTCGTTGATGGGCTCGTGTTCAATGTGTTTGTGATTCGACAGTATCTCCAGCCGCTCCGACAGATTGTACGGCCGCGACGGTTCATCCGCGTCCTCGTACACCCTGTAATCCCAATGATACTGCGCGGCGTTGTGCCCGGGTTCATTGTTCTGACCGTCGTGACCTAGCGCAAACATTTCCGGCGTACTCCGGCGTATATTCTCCTCCATTCTGTCCTGCGCGTTTTTGTCATTCCTGTTGGCGCAGTTCTGATGGCAGTCGCCCCTCGTTCGGCATACCATACTCTGCAGGTCGAGACTCGCGTCGCGCGGCGCCGGCACGTTCCGCGCGAACGCCGCCACGCACTTGTCGACGGAATTGTTACTCGAATTGTTCTGCGGCGCGTGATAATTGCACTGGGGGGCCGCCGCGTTTTGATACAGCGCGTAACATCTGCGCGAAACGTTCGCGTTATGATTGAGCGGGTTCTGCTGCACGTTTGGGATATTGGGGTTGACGCTCTGCGGTGAATTTTGCTGCTGCTGGCTAGTTCTCCTCTCGTAGTAATCGGTCGGCTCGTCGTTTCCCGAATCTTCATCGTCCGTCTTCTGTTTTCAGAAAGCAAATACACGAGCATTAGTATCAATATCTATTAATAATGCGTGAGTATTAACGCGTTCAAAATAAATTTGTATTTATCTTACCTCGCTGAAAATTGGTACTTGGAGCAGATCGACGTCATTCGGGAACAGAAATGCGTGACACGTCGCGCAGACTGGTTCTTCGAAGCACGGCCCATAATATCCGTTACAAATATAACATGCTGTTGTCTGTAAATAAATAAAAAAATTACACGTCATATACATACGTGACTTATTGAGACGAGAGAAAAGCCACGAAATAACACAAAGATTTAAATTTGATCAATCTATTGTCGACAAAAATATAATAATTTTATAATAATGAAGTTAACAGGTTCATAACAGGATCGCCTTAACGGTTAACCAAGTCGTAAGTAATTAAGTCAATAAACTCGTCGAGTAGGAAAATGATTTACGGATAAGTACAAATGTAAATGGTTCGATATAACTTTCTCTACCGCAAAATCACATGCGACGTCGCGGTTATCGGCCGCGAGGTCGCAAAATTCACACGAAAAACGTTGACGAGACACGAATCGAGAGACAACGGAGGGAGATATGTAGCGGAAATTCAGAGCTTACCGAGAATTGAAATTCGGGACAGGGAACGTATTCGATCGACTCGACGAAATCGTCCTCCAGGTTCAGGCTGAGGCTCAGGTCACCATTCTCGCTTATTTTCTCGCCGTTACCGTTCTGCGTGCAGTCAACAATCTTGTCGCCCGCCATTTTGTAACAATTAACAAATTCGTTCCGCGATTGTGTGGCGTGTGGCGCCGTGGCGTGCGGGATTCTCACGTAGTGCAGCAGTCAGCAGTGCTGCCAGAGTTTCAGTCGACTAGTCGTCAATGGAGAAAAGGCGCCAGACTTTTCTCCAAGAGGAGTGAAGAGGAGCAAGGTGAGCAAGGTCATGATACATGATACGTGAGAAAATATAACGCGGTGAGACACTTGAATCACTTGAGCGCATCAGATAATTTCACTGAATGCTGAATAAACGTACATGTATGTATATATTTTTGAAATTTATTTATCGGCGCAACAATTATACACACCATGGTTATGTTACAGGACTAGACCAAGAGTCCAGGTTTCGGAAAAGTTTAAAGTAAATATTCCAAAAAGCTGCTTCGACACCTGCTTAAGTCACCTTTATTTTTCATAATCCAAGTGGATCATCGCATTTACTTCATGGTAATTTTACGTTTTTATTACAGTAGAAATTTTTGTTCAGAATTTGTAACTTTGTCCATTTTCAATGTAGATTAACTTAGCTTTAACTTACTTTTAATTTTTTTCTAATTCTCAGAACTAGAAGAAGATAAAAAGTAAGTTAAACCGAGATTAAAGTTAATCTGCAATATTCTACATTGATAGAAATTGAAACATTGGAATTAAAAAAAAAAGATAAACAAGTTAAATTGAGATTAAATTAGTTAATCTGCATTGGTAGAAAATGGTCGTTAGTCTACTTTTATTTTCAATGCTTCCTGTATAAACGTTCTAAGATGATACTAAAATTCTCTTTTAATTTTTACATAGATACAAAAATAGGATGTGCTATTGCTTTATCAATTATCATGTAATATCCTGAGGTACATATGCAGGTATAAACAGAAAAACTAATACTAAATATACAACATTGTGAAAAGCGTTAATATTTATAACGCTCTGTCAATTCTTTGAACTGGACAAACGTTCCAAGATATTAAAACGTTGATAGATTAGTTAACAGTCGTTAAATTAGAAGGCGAGTGAATAAAAAAATATTTTTTTTTAACATTTTTTCACACTTCGTGATATGCTGAGGTAGTGGAAGAGAAAAATTGTATTTCATTGTGCTTTTCACAAATTTGGTTCCCATGCTTTATCTCCAGAATTATATAAATGGCGTCAGACGACAGATTTCAGCTGTAATACTGGTTGTTTAACAGTTCTGCGTTAGTTGGATTTGCTCACTAGGTCGAACTTCCATATTTTGTTTGGTCCAATTTCTGACACGTAAAGGGCCTTACCGTACGGACACACAGCGATGGCGTGGGGCGTCTTGAAAGACTGGGGAAAAAGTACAATATTCTTTTTATTAAAAAAAAAATAGTAAAATATTAAAATAATTTTGAGTATCAGTACTCAAATGCGAAATTGGTCATTTTGATTCTCAAATGTATCATAAATCTATAATGAGAGTGATAGCAATTATCACATCATCGAAAATATAAAATGTAATACTTACTGAGGATTCAGGACTCCAATATCCGGTTACGTTCTGATTCATGGAATCGATGGTGAAACCCTGAATCGGTATATTTCTAGATGTCACGCCGTTAACAGCGTAAATGAAACCATCTAAAATTATCGACATAATATAATAAAGATATTTATCTCCCTTTCTTTTTATTTTATCATTTAAAAAATTACATTAGCAAATAATTAAAAGTATCGAGAAAATAGAAGTATGATTATAATATTGTTGATTTTTTATTTCTAATAAATTACATTTCTTTTTTTTTATTTTGTTGCCTGATTTAATTTAATATCAATTTAGTATCGATATAAATTAGGTTTTATATTATGATATAGTGCGAGGATTTTGACATATTGAAAATGTTGATTTTAATACGATAATATATTTATACAAAAAATTGCAATCATTGTGAATTACTTACGGTACGACACAATTCCAAATATTCGGCCAAATTGCCGATGACGAATCGAATAGGGGGGTTCCACATTTTGACTAAATCCGGAATACGTCACGTCCAGACACACAATTCTCCAATTTTCGCGATCAGCGACACATACTTGTCTATTTGGCAAGACTGTCAGGGCATGCGGGATTCTCAAAGTAATCCATCCTAAAACAGCGAATTAATATTATTTAAACACAAAAATATGTGTCGAAAGTATACTTTTACAAGGGAAGAGAATATGTCTTTTATACCATTTAAGGATTGGTACAAGCAAAAATTTAAGAAGGCCGTACATTACTATTAACGATATTAAACGTACTTTCGTCAATAGTGTACTTGGGGTTGCCTCTTTTATCAAACAGTACTAATCTATTGTTGCAATATCCGTCAGCGACAACGATCTCGCCACCCGGTAAAACCGCAACCGAGGTTGGCTGGCAGAAATGTTCTATGTCGCTTCCAGGCTCGAATCTTTGACCGAGAATCAGTTGAGGGACGCCAGAAGCCGAATACTATATAATTTATACAGATATTAGCCTCTAATATTAAAAAAAAACAACTATGATTGTAACATTATAGCTTCTTATTGACTTCTCAGTTACTTGACTTGTCAATATAATTTTAATACATGTGCATATCCATCATTTATTAACAATGAAAACATATTTGTGATCTAACAATAAGACGTTTTTTATAATTACAGCGCAACATTTCATGTGTAAGATTTATCGGCCAAGATTTGACGGCAAGATCTCATTTGTGTCTTGAAATATGCTTTGATGTGGATTTCTCTACATACCTTGAATACTTGATGGAGAGCAATATCAGTCAACCATATATTTCCAAAGGGATCGACGTGGATTCCATGCGGTAAATAAAACGTCTGATTTCCCCAACCACTTATAATATCGCCGGTTTTCGGATCCAGCGTTAATACTGTGTTATCACGAATGGGACCTCTGTATTTTTTTTGGTACTCTACATCCTCGTTGAAAGTGCTAAAAATTAACACGTTATAAATAAAAAAAAATTGAATATGTAATTGATCAGGGAGATACAGCTAGATTTTCCATAAAGTAAAAGTTATATTGAGATATTAAAATGAATTGGACAAAAATTATCTCAAAGTTAATTGTAATTCTCATTTTTTAATTATAAAAGTTATAAAGAGAGTGCATACATTTAAATAATTCAGCAATCGTTTTTTTAGAAAGTATGAATTTTAATTGTTATGCCTTTAATTTTTATTTGCTAATTTATTGATGACTTACTCGTAATTCCATGTTCTATCTCCGCGGTGAAAAATCACGAGATTCCCCATCGGGTCCACCGCGACACCGGAAACCTCGCCAAGATTTTTGGGACTTTGCCAGAAATGATTTTCAACGGGATGCAACGGCGTGTGGGACTGATCCTGCATAATAACGACAACAAGAATAATGGTAAATATATGCACATGACAAGACAGGATTATTATGTTATTATAACATTGTTAAAACATGATTTTCAGGGCAATGTTGGAGATATAATGTCTTATAATAAATCCTCGAATATCATTTTACGAAATTATACGGATTAGTAACGACTGAAGTAAACATGTGCTAATTATAATTTTTAAAATTTCCGCATGCGTGAACATTATTTCATTATTGCGACGTAGCAATGTATCAAGATGTGATGTCAAATATAAATTAGTTTATTTGGATATATACATACGTGAAAGCGTCGGTAAGGAATTTCGAATTCATCGAAGTTATTTCCATCGTCGAAGTTTCCATTGTCGATATTGGACGTAACGCCTCTAAATATCACTATTGCGAGCACCGAGAGAACTCGAGGGAATCGGTTTCCTCCATCCGCCATTGTTTCTCTACTCGTCCATAAATTTCGCAGCTGACGGGATCCAAACCGAGGAGTTGAATGAATCAATAGTACGCGCAAGCGCTTGTCGAATTTAAATTACAACTTGGGAATATAGCTCCATCAGGGGAGATTAATGCAACAAGTACGTTAGGAACTGTAGGAAGTGATTGATCATCCAACATAATATAAACAAAAGAATTCAAGATACTTGGGATACAGCGGCGAGTTCGATGACAAATTCGATTACATTAATGAGGAGAGAGGAAGAGATACAAACCTAAAGAATTGTTTTATTATAAAATTAAATCATAGATCGAAATGTGTGTAACACGAAAACTCGTGTAACATCGCCAGTATAAAAGGGATTATAAAATCTTTAAAAATTAATAACGTAACAGGGTAACGTTAATTAATACACAACATTAATAACGTAACGTGATGGGGTTGAGAACGAGAATGCATTAAGATAAAGTGGGAAATAATTGGGATCTTTTGATAAACAGAATAACGCAACGCCAGTGATAAGAAATTAATAATCATTATTTCTGCTAATTATTTTGTGATGTGATATAACTAACAATAGATTTCTGTTTAATTGCTTGTTGGAAATTTATTGCGTAGTTTACCCGACGGTAGCGATTACTCAACTTTGACTTGAATGGATGTGTCCTGGGAAGTATACAGGAAACGAGCAGTTGCAATTACATCGAAAAACAGAAAATAACAGGTTGAATTACGCTGATTGGTGAGAAACAGCTGTTGCGCCAGCTATCGTTGGAAATCAACTGCGTCTACTCCAGAATCGTGAGGAAGAATTCGCCGGTACAATCAGACAGGTGGGCGCCGGGTCGATATTTGCGCGCAGGTGTCCTGGTTACTGCCCTAGGAAAGCGGGTAGGAACGCCGGGCGATCGTATCCTGGAAACCATTGACGTCATAGTTTTTCTCTATTCGCAGAGCAATCAATAACTCTCTGCAATCTGTATTGTTTGGTCCAGGCATGCACGTACATAACGCTATGTGCGATAGATTTAAATTAAACGGAAACTAGAATCTGTAGTAATTAATTTTAACATCATTTCGATATATTCGAGTCATATTTTTATAAATGAAATTATGAATGAAGGGATATTAAATGGTTGTTAACGAAATTTTGGATTACGAAAAATGAAAGCAAAATTTCGCTTTAACGTCAAAGTAATACGTCAAAGTATGTAAAATGAATCTGTGGGACAATAAGTGGATTATTCACAAATTACTCCATTAAAGTTTTATTAATAGTGATCACAACGAGTTTATATAACATAGCAATTATAAATTCTTGGCAGCGTAAATGTTCGTCGATGCCCTAATACAAATTGCTCCTCCAAATGTCTTCTGAATATCATCCTTTGAACATTATACAATATTCCCGTCTATGCCCTAAACAAAGCTGCTAATAGAAAATTACCTTTGGAACAATCGTGTCATGTCTTAACCGGTGAATAAATCTGCGAAACTCTTACGAGCGCCGATTTTGATTTTAAACGGGAGATGTTTGATTTCTCTCGTATTGCCATCCCTGTAAAAAAAAACCGGATCAGTTAATATTAGTTGAAAAGAATTTATTTTTGTAAAATTGTACCATTGGAAATAAGCGATCGTTTAAAAATATTTCGACACTTCTTGTCGTTTCCAGCATAATTAAATGTTGGACGTAATTAAATAAAATAGAAAATAATTGACTTTGAAATAAATTAACTGAATTATTTAATTAAGATTTAATTAATTAATTAAATTAAGATAATTATTTAACATTGCAGAACGACAAAAGTTGTTGGCAACAAGAAAATGCATGCTACTGATTTAAAAAAATGATTATATTCAACTTACCTTATTTTGCGGCTTTATGAAACGGATTCTTATCGATTCTTTCTAATTCATTTCTTTCTTTACAGGGTTGGCATTTCGTAGCATCGTTTATTTATCGATTTCGAGACTTAACGACGTTTCCGGTTGGGTCCATATGTAGCCGGTGCGTGTCATGCTGCAGTGCGCGTCGTAATATCTTCCTGGTGCACGGCAATAGGACCACCTCGGGCAACGACATCGGAACTTACTATGAAATTCTTCCTTGCATACCTCGTTCCACCAGCAAATCCTCTGAGAAACGTCAGAATTCGCTGTTTTAAATTCGCGAGTAAATCTTTCATTCTACAAATAATCGTTTTTAATTAAATAATATAAAACACTTGTGTTTAATCGTCTACCTCCGCTAAATAGCCCCTTACACTTTGGTCACTGTAATTTCTCTTGGTAATTATGTGCCGGGCGTTCGCCGAATATACCCTCGTACACAGAGCGAGTATCAATAAAAAACATAACGCAGTTCTGTCCTGAAAAAGAACGGCATATAATTTACGCTGTACATGAAATCTATATAAAGTTAATCAACATGTTTTTCATTCCAAAAACAAGATATTACACTTTAACAGTTTAATAAATTTTAAGTTTTATTAATGTTTGCCAAAATTTATTGCCTTTTTTTTTAGAGAATTTGATTTACAATTCTCTCAATTCCAAATTTACCGATTTACAATATTTGCAAACAAATAAATAAAGCTTTTCATCCCTCAGTTAGCTGTCCCTTGGACGAATGAGCATTTTGCAACGTTTGCCGCTGCGACATCACGGCGGATACCGAGATGACTAGGTAATTGTTTATTTTCGTACACGTTCACGCACACTTACATTTTCCCTCATCTCTGCCTCTGCGTCTCGTGTAGAACAATGAACTCTATCCTCGATTCCGGATTACATGCGAAAAATACGTAGAGGGTGGCGAGCCCATGCACGCGAGCTGCATTTGCTCGCCGCGGTGTCACTCGCATTATCCCTACGCGATATGCAGTTCCTGAGGGAAGAGGGAAGGACATCGGGGCATGCGTACGTCCGTTTGGTGCTCGCCGACACCGTTAAGGGCTGCTCAGTCCCTCTCTTTCCCTCTCTTTCTCTTTCTCTCATCCCGCGGCGATCGATCGAGCGCTTCTGACGCACGGATGATGCGATCTCTCGGTAAGAAGCTAAAAATGACACACCGATATTCCGAAATAATAAGAAAAAGCGAAATAAGAAAAATAAAGATATTGCAAACAAATACATTGTACGAAAATCAGAGAAGGATACGAGAATTTAATTGTGAAAGAAGTATATATATCTAGTTGCTGCTTAAAAACTTAAGATTAATTTCCAAAAAGATGTGTATCAGACTTCGTCGAATCTCTTAGAATTTTTCTTTAGAAGAAATGTTTTTTATATATTGTCAATACATGTTGATGTACGATGAGCTGCGTGCAGCGTGCAGTTTCGAAAAATCCCGCCGAAATTCCGTTGTGCCGCGTATCGGCCGCGAAGCGAACTAGGTTTGCCGACAACGTTCCAAAAACATTTCCGTGCGATCAGCTGTTTCGCGTCCGATTTGTTATTTGTTGTATTTTTGCGAACGGAATGGCGTCCCGCGCCTTACTGCAACAGTGTGCGAGTGGAATTAGCAAGAGCAGTCCTGGGTACCTTGCTTTATTAATTTTTTTAAATAATGAATGATTAAAATGATAAAAGAAATATATGGAACATAACCTCGAAATTTTACATAACAGATCTGTTGGGTCTGCGTTAAATCGTACTAATTGCCGTTTTGGTGTACAATATATATTAAAGTTGTGACTTTCTAAGGATTTCTTGACGTGTAACGCAATAAAACGAATTGTAATCAATTTTTAAATTTCGGAGAATCGATGATAGCCCATCTCTGAATTGTTGTGTTTCTAAATTTTGCGTTGAAATTAGAATGCAATAACTAGGCACCCTACGTTAGCTTGTAAGGTATTCTTTAAAAGATAAGCTTACGATTCGCAAGTTCTAAAGAAACTCTGTACATAGATTGAGCAGGTTATTTTCAAGCAAAGCCTCAGACGTAGAGAAAAAACCTGACTTGGCGCAGCGCAAGAATTTCCAGGAGATGATACAGACGCCAGAGAAGGCCAAATATCTGCAAGCCTTAAAGAGCACAATTACCGTAACCGAGGAGGACGTTGGTTACGTATCCGGTGTTCCCGAGGAGCATATCAAGACGCGCAGAGTACGGATTTATCAACCTGCCAAGAGCGCCATGCAATCAGGAACAAATAACATTCACTTTTGGCAAATGGACTTTGATACGCGCGAACGCTGGGAGAATCCATTGATGGGATGGACCTCTAGGTGATTGTTACTGTTTTATATACGTATGTAAAAGTTATACAAGTCAGAGTATATTTGAGCCACTTAACGGTGACAGATTGTATAGCGATGCGTAATGTATAATATTTATACATTAGGTATTAAATATTATTATGATAATATTTATGTATTTCTGCGCAGTGGAGATCCCATGTCAAATATCAAAGTAGATTTTGCGACAAAGGAGGAGGCAATCGCGCACTGCGAGAAGATGGGATGGGAGTACTATGTGCAAAAGCCGAATGTTAATCAGCCGAAACCTCGTAGTTACGGGAGTAATTTCTCCTGGAATAAACGTACCAGAGTTTCGACCAAGTAATCCGTAAACTCCTTCAAGCTAATCACTCGTAATTTTGTACACGACGAGTGCATGCGGTAATAATAGTCATAAAACAATCTTGAGATAAATATGTATCATAAAGCAAATAAATGTATATATATATTTAGTGCAATGTATTTCGGTTTAAATTTGACGTATCTTTCTTGCCTACTCCTCACTGCTTGAATACATGAAATAAATTTATTTACATTTTGGCATGTATGTTACATTTTTGTTTCTGGTTAATATAAGTAATATCGCGGGAATCTACACGATTATTTGAGTATTGAGGAAGATCATGGGCGGAAACGGTGACACATGTTTCAGCGAATACAACAACAGCCCGATAACATTTTAACATTTCTAATTATATTTCGTTTTGTATTATTATTTATAATTATATACTACAATATTGTTAACAACGTTGTGTATTGACGAGTTTGCGCGCCTTCGAGTCAGGCGGAGCGAAATGAGAAGTATCGTACAGTACGCATTCGAATTCAAGACTGACCTAAAATTATCGAAGATCATGTTAAAACGTCTCGGTATCGCATCGAAAAATGCGAATCTCCCTTCGAGCCCGTTGCATCGATGCATTCTGATTTTGCATTCTCGCTATGGTCAACTAAGTCTTCCTTCTCTATCTAAAAGGACATATTGCAATTATCACCGTTCCTTCCAGCCAATTGTGCTGGACATAAAAATTGAAGAAAAAAATGCTCAGTGTTTAGTATGCATTGACGCAGCAATAGTCAACGTTAGAAGTTGAAAAACCGGCGACGAATTATACTTTAGATGTAGGTATATCAGGATAATGAATAAGAGGATGATACAATCTCTCTCTTGCTTAATTTCGCAGACGAAGCGCAAAAGAGATTATATTCGAATATCAATCGCCAAGATACTTTACGTAAAAATTTTTCGGAATTTCCTCACTATTATCGGCGATCGCTTTTATATCGAAACATTGTCGTAATCTGGAAAGGAACAGGAAATTGCTGTATATTAGTTGACCGAGGCCGTTGCTGCAAACGAACCCTCAATTATTTATAATTAAGATGTAAAGCGAAGGAAAAAACGTGCGCAATCGTATCTCATGAGAGCGGAATATGAGAAATGGCCTACGATGTTATTATCGCATAGAAAAGTATAGGGCGGCAAGAGAAAAATTATAAGGGAAAAACAAGTTGTTGCTGTTAAAGCGGAGAGAATCTCCAAGAGAAACATTTATACACCGTTTAAATCGTGTAAAACGGCATCTGTTAATCTTCCCCCCTCAAATATTTTGCCCTGCGAAAAGTAGGGTAAATTAGAGGAAATATCGTCAATGAGATTCATTTGGAGAAATTTAATTCTAAATCACTAATTTAGAGAATCGAATTCTCAGCTGAATTTCCTCTAATTCACTCAATTTTTTTTTTGCAGTGAAGAGCAATGGTCACTCTGTTCTTTCACGAAGCGCGAGTAAGAGACATTGTTTTAATGCGAAACCACGATATCGTCGTCGATATTATTAGCTAAGATATTTTAGGTTCATTAAGCTCAATATAAGTCCGACGTGTAGTTAAGTTCGCCTCGTGCGGATTTTTTTTTCTATCATGCCTTTCGTGAAACAATTTATTTTTATTGAGTTTCTTTCACGCGGAATATTTTTTTTTATTCTCTTTTTTATTCACGCGGAAAATATTCGAATCAAAACGAATTGGTGTGGAAAATTCTCTCGTTTTTCATTTAATTACAATCGTTATAGATATATAATTATAATTTATGAGTACGATGATTATACAAATAGTTACATATTAATCCTATTTAACTACTTTTTTTTGTATCGAATTTTTTTTAACAAAATATAATTCCGATTAAGGCGTTAGAAATTAGCCTTTCTCCCGATTGCCCTCTCGAGCATCGAGGCTTTTGCATAGAAATCGGAAAATATTACAAAGAGCTTCAGCAAGAATTTTGAAACTATCAGTTTCTATATGTCGAAGATGAAAAGTCCAAGTTCGCGCACGTAAATCCCGGTCCTTCCTTTAGATTCGCCTAACACTATTCCTCGAAGACGACATCGGGAACCTGCGATCGAGAGCAACGGATTAACAACGGGTGTGTATCTAATATAAATAACGTTTCAATGTTTCGAAGCAGCCGCTTTATCGAGCAGCTTTTCCTCACTTTTTCCCCCCAGAGAGACCTCGCGCTTACGCGTCCCAATCATCAGATACTTTTAAAGACACTAACGGCTTATATGTATATACCCTATGTAATTTGCCCTGTGCAATTATATTATCTGAATATACAATTTGTCTATAACGTAACTTGCGACAGAGAGATCATCCCCTTGTCTCATCGCGATTTTGGAGCTCGGCGCGGCAGGCGAAGGTCATCCCCCTGATCAAAACGACCGGGGTTCTCGATCTCAAGCAGGAAGTAAGCGAGGGAGGAACCGATTCGAGAAAAAACACACATAGCAAAACTTCCATTCCCTGCGAATCCTCTCTTTCTCTCTCGCACCCTTGATCCTAAAAACTACTATAGCGATATTGTAACAGCGATACAAACCGCCATCTCACTTTATATGCATATGTATATATTTATACATGTATAATAATTGTCATATGCGTGTGGTATGTTTTACATACACATGTATAATATATATACACATATTATATATAAATATGTATATATTATATATGTGTATATATATAAAATATATATTAGTCGTTCGAAAAGCAATATGTTACATTTTTTTTTTAAGATTTTGAAGAACAAATTCTATTAATTTAATTTAATACAAAATATAATACATGGTTTTACTACACTTTGTCTGCTACTTTGAAACTAATTTTGCAACTCTATTTCGCCATGTTAGAATACATCTAATATAAACAAAGTAAATACAATATATTACTTATCGAATGACTTAATATATATATATATATACGTTAATATATACATGTATGTATATATGTTAGTGAGTATGTGAGTATATGCAGGCTTGAGCGTAACGCGATTATTCATCCGCGCACACGGAGGCGCGATATCGAAAAGGCTAGTCGTAGGGTTCTAATATGCGGGGCATGATCTCTCCTGCACCAGGGCGAAGCCACCCCCGCATGATTGTACGGTTCGCCGTAGGAGACGCGGCTGATATACGTCCGGTCTGTTCTGTTGTTCCGCGACCGGACATATCTCGCAGTTTTTCTCGTTCTGTTCTACCTATGTATATATTATATATGTACAAGCGCGTATGCGGGTCACATACGGGGCGAGAGTCGCACTTTATCGCGTGAAATTAATAAGAATTTGCAAGCACGCAATGGCATTTTTTTCTTCCTCCTATTTAGATAATTATTTGTCGCTATTAAGACAGAACGCCGTTATTAAAACTGCATTTCGACTACATCGGATTTTCCTTTTTTTTTTCGCTCGCACGCGCGCTCTCTCCCGCATGTGTGTATATATAATTTGTAATTGACGTATGTTTTTATCGTGTATATATGCCTCGTGAAAACCAGCTCCCGAGGATCCCGGAGCCGTTCGGCGAATCTCCGCAAATTTGCCGAACCTCCGAATCGCCAGATTCCTTTCTCCCCAGAAAAAAAAAACGAAGATATAACATTCCTGCATTTGCTTCCTTTTCCTCTCCTGTCTTTCTCGCGCGAATAAAATTGTTAAGCTCGCCAAAAGTGCTACGGTCTGATTAACGTCGGATACAGCAATACGTCGCAATGAAACGCTACGCTGGCCTAATTAATTCTACGCAATCGCGAGTCGCCGTCCGCCGCAGCGCAGATATCCGAGGGGTACGCGTGGATGTTCTGTCCATTGATTCTTATGATTCTTTCATTTGATACGAATACAATTTTACACGTAACATTTCGAGATTCACGAATGTACTTTCTTCCAACTTTTCGTGATTATTTTCCAAATAGTCATCGAGATCGCATGAAAATATACCTGCAAGCGATTTTCGACCAAATTCCAATTAACTTAATCGACGATTAATTTAACTAACAGAATCATAAAAAATTATTTGCAACAAAATTCCTAATATAATTCGTCTCTAATTTAATCCTTCTCATTCCGCATTTTAATCTTTTTTAAACGAAAAATTAAAATTATATGAGCATCACTAGTTAATTATTGCCGACTAAGTTAATTAGAATGGCTCACAGCAAAAATTTCAGTGTATCATATAATTCGTTATTTAATTTTTTTTTCATGTATTAAACATCATAAAATTATTATTAATTCTATGTTAAAAATATTATAGACATTATATTCGATAAGTCGATTAATTAACAAAATTTTACAGATAGATTACTTGATAAGTTAATCGCTGATTAAATTAAGGGGAGG